ATTGTTCTGTATTTCCCTTGGAGATTTTGTAGCAAAAGATGATAAAGGAGTGAACTACCACATTGGTATGAGTGGAATGCCACCAGCATAAAACCTCGTGCAAAAGACGAGGTGATTTATTTTTTTTTTCTTAAACTTTCTAGGGTCCTTCAAAATCATTCTTGCTCAAAATAGGGCCACTTTCATTTGGAATGAAATATGACACAAGTAACTATACTGCGAAAACGCAAATGATCATTACAGACACTGTGTTCATGGGAGACTTGATCTAACGAAAAAATATATTGTAGTTCAGACCCCAAAGTTATCGGGCACTATATAAGAAACATTACATATGTGAAGTTAACCCTGTAAGATATTTAAACCCATATTTAAAGACTGCAGGACTGCAGGCAGGACACTGCACTGAACAGACCCAGGATCCACTGCCAATTCTCCCATATCTCCAAGATCTTTTAAAAGTTATTATACGGCTGTTAAAAACCTTAATAAAGATCATATACTTCTCGTTGAACCCAAATAGGTTCTCTGTGAGCTCAGTTCTCAGTTCTTTGCAGTTGCCAACAGAGTCTTAACACCTAAATTTTTGAAAAAGAGAAGCTCATGCAAGAAATCCTGTATAACAGGACAAACTGCTGTCCAGTGGTACCAGAGCCTCCTTGGAAGACACTTAATTCACAGAGAGAAAGACAGTTGCAGTGCATTAAGTCTTCTGTAATTAAACTTTTTTGCTTTAGTAACTATTGTAAGTAACAACTGAAACTTGAATAAGAAAGTCAAATGTTCATTCAGTAGTAGGCAAACACTGAGTCACGGAAGAACAGTTGATGTGAGTTTTCAAAGCTGCAAGTTTGTTCTCCAATTCTGTGTGATTTATAGTAAAGAAACAGGAATCTAGTAAAAAGGGCTAAGTTGCACACGTGATTTCTGAGCCGTAAATGGCTGCTGGTGGGCATCTGGGGATGCAGGCATGGGCAGAAACTCAAAACTAGCTTCTGGTTCATGTTACCAGCAGCAGTAAAGCTTTAAACTGAAGTGGCAGGTTTGAAAAAATAGTGCAACCCCTTAGACTATGCTTTCTCCTGAGAAAAGTTCTTATTTGTATGTTTTCAGGTACCTTGCATAAGAAACAGAAGTATTTAAGAAGATGCTACATTTTTTCCTGCTTCTTTTAAAGAAATTCTATGCTCTTTCTGTTACAGCATATTTTAAAAAGCTATTTCATCTCACAGCATACATTTTTATGTTTGTTTTTTTTTTTTTTAACTTATTTATTTTATGGCATAGCGGAAAGCATTCACTGTATGGCTGAAAAGGAGCCAATGTGCATCAAAGTATGAAAGAAATAAATTCATTCCACTTGTAATGAGATTTCTCTTCAGTTTAGTTTGATTATCTTTACTATTGTGTCCAATGCTATTTGGAAAAAAAGAGACAAAGACAGGGAAAAGAATCAAAAGCCAAGCAATTGTACCTGTTCTGAAGAATATCTTTGCATATTTACAATACAGTAATACTACAGTAACGACAAACTGTAATGGCATTGTATCAGTTATCAAGGTGATGAGAGTTGATCCTGTCCAAAGATCACACTGGAAACTGGCTATGCTCTTACAATGGGCACAACTCTCAACAACCAAGACTATGCTCATCATGTTAAACAATAATATACCTGTGATTTAGAAATAAATGGAGTTATTCCACTAACAAGTATTTCAAGGTTTAGCTGCAGTCAACATTGAAAGTACAAATCAAAGGAAGAAGAAGCAAAAGTTCAGCATCATCTTTTATTGTGCCTAGAGGTAATGTGGCATCTTGTGATGTTTTTTCTGCCAGAACTCTGTAGGATCATTCCTCTTGGGTTGTGTCTGTTATAGAAAAATAGACTTCTGCTGAGCCAGTGGCACTAGCTTAAGCACAAAGATTTAGGGACTCACATTAGCCACAGCAATCTAGAAGAATCACTGCAGTTTTCATTACATCTGCAGCAATGTTCTGCAAAACTGCTGCAGCTATTTTGGGGCATCTCTTCAGAAATTCCTAACAAAACTTTCTGAGAGATGTATATAAGCTTGGTGGAGTTGCTGATATTATTCATGTTAATTAACCTGCATTGCCTTTTCAAACTAACTCGCCCTTTTCATGCACTGTAGACACAGTGGCTCTGCAAAGGACTCAAGTCACCCTCATCAATAGTGTAAAGCTTGGAAAGGAAACAGCCCCAGTTCTTTAACCTCTGAAATGTACACACAGATTTCTTTTTTAAGAATAAGGAAATTCTGAAAATGAAATAAATCTCCTTTAATAAAATGATTCCAAAATTTGAAAGTGTACCTCCACAAACTGGTGTATCACTTCTTTTTGAGCACTAAGTAAGGATTTGGGGTGTAAATTTATTTAATCTTTTCCATCTTTATTTAATCTTTTCCATATTACTGACACTCAGCTTCTGTTGCTCTGATGCAGCTGAGCAGCCAGCTTACCAGAGGAGAAAAGCCTGCATGTGGGCAGTCTGCCTGGGAGCTGGTTCCGCCTTTGGCATACCACAGAGAGTCTTAAGGATGTTCTAGTTTACAGAGAGAAATTACACAGATTTTTTTCTGAAAATTCTTTCAGAAGGAAAAATCAGTCAACAAACAAACAAACAAAAAAGCTGTGTAAATGAGGCTAGCTTGTTTCATGGCAAGAAAACTGTTTTAATCAGATTAAGTTGCATTTTCCGTAGAATGACAGAATCATAGAATTGCTCAGGTTGGAAAAGACCTTTAAGATCACCAAGTCCAATTGCAACCTAACCATACTACCCTAACTCTAACAACCCTCCACTAAATCATGTCCCTGAGCACCACATCCAAATGTGTTTCTAGACATATCCAGGGATGGTGATTCAACCACCTCCCTGGGGAGCCTATTCCAGTGCTTAACAATGCTGTGTAAAGAAGCTTTTCCTAAACCTTCCCTGGCGCAACTTGAGGCCATTTCCCCTTGTCCTGTCACCTGTCACCAGTGAGAAGACACCAACCCCACTCTTCCTGCTATCACCTTCCAGGTATTTGAAGAGAGCAATAAGGTCTCCTCTCAGACTCCTTTTCCCCACACTAAACAGCCCCAGTTCATTCAGTCTCTCCTCGTAGGGCGTATTCTCCAAGCCTTTCACAAGCCTTGTTGCCCTTCTTTGGACCTGCTCTAGCACCTCAATGTCCTTTCTGTATTATGTATGTATGTATGTATGTGACATAGCAATTTAGGCCATTATTTATGCCCACAGTTAAATGTATTTTCTGTAAGATTTACCAGGTTCTCAACCAAAAATATCCTCTCTTAAATGCTAATTGCTATTATTATCCAGCCCATGGACATTCTCAGTGTCTTCTCCTAGGAACCAGCAACAATGATGTATCCAGATCAGATAATTCCTGTCTGTCACTGTAATTGCAAGAGGTTAATTTTCTTTTTAGTCAGTGATATGTAAATTGGATGCAGATAACAGTTGCTTATGAGGCCTTCTCTATAGAAGTTGCTTCCATCACTACCATATTTAACAGTTTTACTACAGAAGTTCACATTTTACACCTTTGTCAAATGAATGACGTTCAATGAAGTTCACATTTAACTTCATATGGCTTTTTAGTCCTAAATACTGTATGAAGAGGAGAAAAGAATAACAACTGAGTTTTGTTCTGATGACATACTCATGAATGAATACAATAACTGCCATGATGGCACTGTTTGTTACAATAAGATTTAAACAGCGTGATAAGAAGACTTGACCAATCTCAAAATCAGAGGACTTCATCTATTTATGTGCTTAAACCTCTTTAACTAGTAACAAGCTCTCCACACTTCTCCGTCTGGGCAATTGCTGCCTTTGGCAATAATGATCTGAGTGGGTGGCTGAGAATGGAGCTGGCAGACACAGTACAGATGCAAATTACTGTACTTAGCAGCACTCACATTCATTTGTCCAGGCAGTCATTTTCTATAATTCCAGAAGTAAGCCAGAAGTCATAAAATATTGTATTTGTCACTAACTAAAAATAAAATATGTTATGTAATCAGCATTTATTATCATAAAATATAGTGTTAAATAGATAATTGAAGTGTCAATATGCCCAATGTCATAAAGAAATCGCTGAAAAAAATGAAATACATTCTGTGTGCCTAATTTGTCTTTTTGTGTTTTATTTTTAATATTGCCATTGGAGATCTCCTAATGCAAGTGTGACTGTTGATATTCATTACCAAGGCCAAATAATAACAACCATAAAGATGGTAAAATCCTGATTAGCTTTTCCTTCACTCTAGCAAGTTATTTCTTTCATTATTTTACCTACTGAGATGAATTACAAACGTGACAGAAAGGAAAACCAAACAATGCACAGCATTACTAAAGGCTATCTTCAGTTCACTGAAATTAACAGTCATTATTTCTGTGTTGACTGCAATGTTGCTGTTCCATAGCATATAAAGTAAGAGTCAAAATACAATACAAACTTGCATATGTATTAAACTTCTTGATTGTACAAATAATTACTTGACGTGCAATACCCAGGCCACGATTTCAAATGCAGATTTTTTTCCTTTATCTACAGTGCATTTTTAAACATACTTAAGTAAAATTTCACTTAATAATCTTTTTTTTAAACTATGCCCTGAATAAATATTCAACCTTTTAGAAAAGTGGCATCCAAATAAACAATAAGAAAAAGCCTAAAGAAACAAAGGAGAAAATCTATTTGTGTACATTGACATCACAGCAGCAATCTCAACAAGCTAAACTTTCTCAGGAGAAATAAGCTTTTCTCAGAACAAATTAACTTTATTTAAATAACAGTGGCAGTAACAGTAACTGTGGTCTTATATGATCATATGAGAAGACAGCAATTAAAGTAACAAGTTTTTGGAATCAGAATCTAGCTTAATTCTATTGAGTCATTAGTAAGAAAATTGCTAAGGCACAAATGTATCAACACTAACTGCAATCAGAATCCAGACAGTACCTTAGCTTTATCCCTCATGGAGCCTTTTCCCAGGATAGACATTTTTGCTCCTGTTTCTTCTTGTAACCTCTTCAAGGAGTTCCCTCTTGGTCCAAGCAATTTCCCAACAAAATTGAACTAGAAAGTAAGTAAGAAAACTATTTTAAAACAAGGAGCATTTAAAAAAAAAAAATCATAAATCTTTATAAATGAGTTGCTTTAAGAGAAAAGTTTATTCTTATTTTTAAACAATACTACTACTTAATTCTAGGATTAATTCATATAAGTGTGAAGAATGGCGTTGTTTTCTCATGTACTTTGGAAATGAACTATAAGCACTCATAGTTTATCTGAAACCCGGGAGATTCATCTTTAGGAGAAAAATGGACAACAGCTGCTTAGGTTTAGCAAAGTGCTAAACAAGATCTTGGCTTATTAGATGACATAGGTGAAACTAAGAAAATGAATATGTTCTTTCCTGCAATAGTCAGCTTTATTGGCAGAATAATGTATTTTGCAAAGCTAGAGCTTTTGATAGGTTTCTAAGAATTGATGTTTTACATATCGATTTTAAAGTAAGTGTCGTTTCATGTACCGGTTTCAAATATCTGTTTTGCCAGTAACTGAACAAGTCACACAAACAGATCACTCCAGATAACCAGGCTCTTGTCTAAGGATTTTGCAGAGCACTGGAATTTGTCTGATATGCTGCAAATACTTTTAAACAGTGTACAGTTCCTATGGCACATACATTGTTGTATTTTTTTTTCTGCACGAAGAAGAGAGATGTCTACTTGAAAATTCTTTGACAGAACACTAATTAAATAAGGCGTTAATGCTATGTCATCATAAAGTACCAAAGCATGGAAGCTATCAGGTGCTCTGCAATCGACAGTTTATTCAACTTAGTATGTGTTATGCTTTCCAAAATCTTTTTGGATATGACATGATGTCTTTGGAAATTGATGGAGAACTCTGGTCTGTCTTTCAATAAAGACTAAGCTCACCTGAGAATAAAGGTGTGCAATTGTATCTGCATGACAATAAGAATAGCAATCAAGGACATGCTGGTGTCAAAACTTAAGGAAGATCACAAATGATAGAACCACAGAATCATCTAAGTTGTAAAAGACCTTCACGACCACTGAGTCCAACCATCAACCTGACCTACACCGTCCCATCACTAAACCAGTGATATGTCCACACATCTCTTAGATACCTCCAGGGATGAGGAATGCAGCGCATCCCTGGGCAGCTCACTGCAATGCTTGACCACACTCTCCATGAAGAAATTCTTCCTCATGTCCAGTCTAGACCTCTCCTGGTACTCAATGTGTGGCCGTTCTCTCGTATCCTATCACTTGTCACTTACGTAAAGAAACTGACACCCTCCTTGCTGCAATTGTTGTAACTTCCTTCAAATATTGGTTAAACCATCGAAGAAAAAAGTATGTAATCTCAGGAAAAAATAAACACGCAAGACAAAATCTACTTCCACCTAAATTAACATCACCAATTTCAGTTAGATAAAATGCCTAGGGGGAAATAGCAAGTGGTACAGCTGTGGAGAAAAAGAACAAGCTTCAACGCTCAAAATAACATTTTTCAGGCTTGTGTGCTTGCAATTTGTTCCAACTTTCTCTACTGATTTAATAAAAGTCAGCAACTCTTTCAATAAATCCCATCCCTTTAAATCATCATGGTATCAGCAATACTAAGTCTGTACTAAAACTGTAGCTATGTATCTTCCAGGGCCAACTTTGCCTGAAAGAAGTTGCTCTCTTCAGATGGATTATTAAATTTCATATGCAAATAAGCCTAACGATGAGGAAGGAGTGGCAAAGATTGAATTTCAACTTTAATTTGAAACTACATACTAACCCTAGGACTCAATTTATAAAAGTAAGATTTCAAAAATGAAATCTCATGCGTGCGCAGGCTCATTAGAGAAGATTCAGCAAACAGCTGAGCTTTCTCTTCTCTGCAGGAAATACATGTGCAGGAAGGCGGTTAAAAGATGAAATCTTTTGTGCCACTTACACTTTACTAATCAGAGTAGAATCCGAGAGAATTTATGCTGCATTCCATTACTGTCTCTAAATATTAGGAAAAACATGCCTTTCAAAAGATGAAAGTCTACGGCTGCCTAAGTTTGGGGTACAAGAGGGCCAGTCAAAGCTCAACAACATTTGCTCTCTGAACAGAATAAAACTATTAAAATAGAGCTTATGAAGATTTATGTTGAACATTTATACCAAGTACTTTATAAACTACCTAATAATTACCTTGAAATATTGCTGCAAAGGAGCAGTATGGCCAGCATAAACTACGTACAAAGTGGATTTTAATCACTTCACCGGAAATAAGTGGCTGGGGATTTTAATTCTATTGATTATGTAGCAGACAGACATTCACACTTCATCCACCTTCTACTCTGAAAAAAATATATCAGGAAGCATTCCGTTACTTGCAACTGAAAAAATGAATTGCTGTTAGTTTGGTTGTGTCTGAAGTTGCAGAAAAGCTAGTGAACAGTATCAGAAATTCTACCACTGTCCTCAGTCTTCCCAGCATCAGTAAGTTCTAGGGACACCAGCTATCCTTAGCATTAATCTGCAGTCGTAAATCTGAAACCCCCTTCCAGTAGGACGTGCTACACATCAGCATTCTTTGTTTGCTTCATGTTAAGCCCTGGAGAAGAGAATCCCTAAAACTAACAGCGTGTTGTCAAGCTGGAGCACAGCACAGGCAGTCTGTCTTCCAGTGTCAGCACTTATTATGCTGATATATCATGCACAGCATTTTTGAAATACCAGATTTTAATTATAACCTGTGCTGTTAAAAAACATGTACATTAGTTCTTAAAATATATCCCATAGCATACAAACAATCTTGCGACAGTCTAAAGTGTACTATAGTATCTTTAGTTCACATATATTTTCATTGTCATACTTGAACTTATCCTCTCCAATTTGGACACAGGTTGTTTTTGATGTGACTTACCACATCAGCAAAATTGTTACAGAATTGAAAATAAACATGCAGACAAGCATCTATATTAACTTCTTGTGGTTTAGTTCTACATGTGATTTAACTCACAGCTACTTCTCTGAACTTAGAAGCTTCTTTCTTTGCTAAATGTGACTTTTGTAGATGTTTTTAAATCTTTCTTTTAAGGACAACAGATACTAGCACTGGTTGATTCTCTGATTGAACTGTGGGGCTTACCACTGGGATTGAGTGACCACGGGACTGGATGTGAGGGTTGTGGCACCTACAGAGCCCGCCAGAAGAGTTAGAATAACCTCAGGGTCTGCCAAAAATGTCAGAACAACCGCAGGGCTCTTTGCAGGAGCTGGAGCAACCACTGGCCCTGTAACAGCAGCCGGAGTGACTGTAGGGTTCACTGCAAGGGTTGGCAGAGCAATCACAGGAGTTGGAGTAACCACAGGATTTGTCATAGAAGTTGGAGCAGCCACAGGGCTCACTGCATTGTCATCAGATCCAGAGGTGTACTCCTCTCCTTAAGGATGCTGAACAGTGTTGAACAGAGCTTGGTGGTCATAGGCCAGGTCCCAGCACATTCCTGTGCTTTGTGTTAGGATTGTCAGGGTGACAGCATACCTTTTCCAAATATTGTACTGTTTTTTTTTCCCTGTGAAAAATCTCAAAGAGCTCCATAAACAGACAAGAAATTAACACTGTGACAAGCAGTCACCAAACTACCACAGCAACCTGTATTAATGTGGTGTGATCAGATCTGCTATCTCAACCCTTCAAGCCCCACGCTGGATGCCAAGATGACTGCTGTGGTTTAACCCAGCCGATGGCTGAGCATCACATAGTCCTTTACTCACTCCCTCCCCTCTATAGTGGGAGATAAAACTATTAACTAAGATAGAAAAAAGGAAAAGGATAAAAGTTATTATATCTATGTCAGTCTGTCTATAGATATGAATGTATATAACAACTAATACACAAACAATTGCTCACCACCCCCAGCTTATGCCTTTGAGCAGCAGAAGAAAAAGAGATGAAGTCCCACCCCTTCAAAAATCCTTCCTTGTGATGTCACGTGGGATGAAATATCCTTTAGGCCAGTTTAAGTCAGCTGTCCTCATCCTGTTCCCTCCCAGCTCCTTGGGCCCTTCCCAACAAATGGCCCTGGCTCTCTACAACACTGCTTGGCTACAACTAGAAGCACTGGTGTATCATAAACATTGTTTTCTCCTAGAACCAAGACATGGCATCGTACCAAATACTCTGAAGAATACAATTCCATCCCAGTTGAAACTAAAACATAATATCTATTTTATATGATGTTGTGAATTCAAGGAGAAGTTTCTTTAGTGTATGGCGTATTAAAGCAAATTGTCCAGGACGTGAAACACAGTGGGTGTTTGAACTTTCAAGTAGGCATCCAAGGTAAATAGACACAGCTCCATTACTGCATTTGTGTTGTATAAAAACGGTGAAAAGAAAGTGAATTTATACTGTAAAAAGCCTGTAGCTAATATTAGCATACTTGTCTCTTCACCATTTTCCTGAACTAGGTATGAGATGCATATGCATACTATAGTGAGCTAATAATGATAAAATACTAATACCTTCATATAGAAACTAGAAAATAAGTAACAACAACAGCAACAAGGTTTGAAACCCTAGGTTTATGACAGATTCAGTAAAAATGCATGGATTTTATTTTTCTTTTCTTTCTGTAGAAATAAGGGAATCTAACCAAACTTTTTTTTTTTTTTAATTATCATTTTTATTCATTTATTATTATTATTTTTCAGTTATTTAGTTATTTTTAGTTATTTAGGAGACTAGCCGGCAGGCTGAGAACCATCCAAGTAAGTTGCCCATGCCTTGCCCTGGCAGGGGTCCTGCCTTTGGTTCCTTGCAGCGGAGCAGTCTCATTGACTTGGCAGCCACAAATACGGCTTGAGGAGCTAGGCAAATAGCAGCTGTGACTTTCAGGACTACCTCATATTTTAATACTCAAAAAAGCAATCAAACATTTAATCCTTTGGTTATATACACAGGACTCTGTCAATAAGGGATAAGCATGCTTTTGAATAACCTAACCAATATCTAATGCTCAGTTTGCTTGTGAAAATCATGTTCAGAGCACTGCT